TATTATATTATATATATATATATATATATATATATATATATATATATATATATATATATATATATTTAATGTGCTGGTGGTTACATGTTTAATCCTTCTGTGAGATTTCTTTGCCGTGTTTTCCGGGACTTGTGTGTTTCTTTCCATCTCTAAGGTAGGAAACCAGGTGCTTGACTTGCAGTGTTACCTCACTTGTCGATATTGTGTCCAGCCGGTATGTTAGCCCTGGTTCCGGCTTCATGCTTCCTGGATCATGCGGCGAGGTCAAAGGCTTCTGTGGGAGCCTTCTTGATCATCAGGCACCTGGCACGACACTGCAAAAAATTCCTGGATGTCCGGGCTCCAGGATATCCCCTCTTGCTGAGGCATCGAGCGGGAAGTATAGGTGGCATTTGCGAGATCCTTCTTGTGCAATGCTGTCTCAGGCAGTGCTCCCCTCGCCTTAGCGGGTCGTATTTGAGCTTGCCTCTCCCGTTTGGCCCAGTACCTCCGGGTATCTGTGATCAGATGCCTGGAAATTTAAATCCATGCTATGGTAAGTGCACATGCTAAGCTCTGTGCACTTTCTGAAATCCACATTGGGGTAAGTGTGCACGTTGAACACTTTGCACACTTTTTAAAATCCACATAAGTGGTAAGTGTGCACGCTAGACTTTGTGCACTTTCTGAAATCCTGTACGGTAAGGGTTTCGCGTTATAGCTTCGTTCCCTTTCTCTGAGTTGGTTAGACCCCGGTACCTTGGGCTCCACTCAACCGGTGTGTCTCTATTTTTGACACACTTGGAAGTATCGCTCCCCTCACCATTGAGGGTTACTATGAGCATGCTGCTTCCTATCGAGCGCCCGTGTTTGCTCCGTGGGCTGCTCTTGTGGTAATATTAGCAGGACTCCCCTTTACCAAAGGGTTGCCTATGAGCGCACTATTCTTTCTGAGTTCGGAGTTCTCCTCTCACGTGAGAGTTGAGTTCTCTGTTTTTCCCAGAGCACCTGGAACCAGTAGCATCAGGTGAACTAGGCCCCTCCAAATGCGCAGAGGTTTTTGGCTAGCTTGCAGTACGCTTACCCTCTGATTTCTAACGACCATGCTCTGGATCATGGGTCTGTGTTCCCTCAGCTAGGTAACTTACTGCTAGCAGTTCCAGCATTGGAACATGCTGTAGGTCTGAGCCTCCCTCTCATTTTAGAGCTGGGTGTGTTGCTCCCTCAGCTAAGTAAATTATGCTAGCTGTTCCAGCATTGGCACATGCGGTAGGTCGAGCTCCCTTCTCGTGTGAGAGCTGGGTGTTTGCCCCCTCAGCTAGAGATTTACTGCTAGCCAATCCAACTTTTTACCTTAGATCGAGTTGGTGACTCTCAAACATATTGGTTTTGGGATGCACCATTCCATCTATGAGCTGCTCTTTCTAAGTACCACGAGAGCCCCCTTAGAATGGTATCCTAAAATCCATGTTATGGTAAGTGTGCACGTGAAGGCTTTGTGCACTTTCTAAAATCCACCTTGTGGTAAGTTCGCACGGTAGTTCTTTGCGTTCTTTTCTAAAATCCTATATGGTGAGGGCTTTGCGTGGTTGCTTTGTGCCCTTTCTTGAGCTGGTTTAAGCCCCATTCACCTTGGGCACCACTCCACCTAGGTATCCTAGGATACCTACTTTAACAGGGTGTTGCTACTAGGGGTCTGTTGAGACAGTTCCTTTCAGAGCTTATGCAAGAGTAAGCGGTAGCCCCTGTGTGACAGGCCAAGACTTATGATATGATACTAGGCTCTTGGTCGTATCCCCTTAAAGGAATCCATTATGATTCCAAGCCTTGAGCTCTACCCCAGGCCCAGGAGTCTGGCCCTAACAGGTAAGTTTGGGTATGTAGCCTAGGCCTTTGGCCGTAGGGGATAAAGTCACAAACAGCCATCGGACATCCCAGCGGCAACTCACCATGAAAATGGTAAAGTTGGTACTTAGTGCTTGCCATGGTTCTGGCCCGCACTCCCCTCAGCATGGCGGCATGAGTATACCGTTCCCCATAGCGACCCCTAGAGGACGCAGTGTGTGTCTCGTGCCCTACTCAGGGAACCATGGTTTCATAAGTAACCGGAGACGTTTTTGTTGTATATTACATTAAATATATTATTGTAACAGATTTATCAGTTACAATAGATTTAACAGATTTATCAGTTATCATAAATGGATATAGTATTAGACTGTGCCTTCTTCAAAATCTCATGGTTTTGTCAAATCATTTAATGGACTTACTGTTGGGATGATCAAACTCTGGATTTCTGCTCACTGCAAAACAAAAACAAACCAGTGAATTTGGACAATTGATGAAACTTAACTAGTACATATTGTTTTTCCCATTTTACATGCATTTTTTCCCAATTTTTTTTTTTACAGAAACACTGAATGACCAAAAATGCACCAGCCCTAAGTTCAGTTAAAATGACTAATATGCATTCATACATGGTTATCAAGTTTTAATTCAAATTACTAAAGTTCTATCATTAAATAATACTTGATTATCATATTATAATGCTTGACTGACTGGTGTTAAGAGTGTACTTTCAGACATTTAAAAACGGTGCCATTTAACAAACACACATATATATATATATACAGTATATATATCAGTCTGGCGAGTAAACTAAAGAATTTACTAGTCAAAGGCGATTCAATTGCCAAGGTGTCCGTAGAAGATTTATATATATATATGTTCCATGATATTTTGTAAATTTCCTGCTGTAAATATATCAAAACTTAATTTTTGATTAGTATTATGCATTGCTAAGAACTTCATTTGGACAACTTAAAAGGTGGGTTCCCTTTCATGGGAACTTCGAACTGCGTCCTCTAAGGGTCGATATGGGGAACGCCTCGTCGTGACCCGTGTCTGAAGCATTCATTGACAAAACACCAACAACACGTTGGCAGGCGACAGCCATGACATCACTACCGGTGCGACTATAGTATAAATAGGCATAGGGAGAACACATCATCCTCTTCTTCGTCTTCATTGACTGTTTTGTTTGAAGCGTACATTTCTGTGGTAAGAGCGATCTCTATTCATATCATTATGGCAAGCACTAGCAAAGCGTTTAGAGGATGTGTGCATCTGTCTTGTCGTTGTTTAACATCTGATGACACACACGATCTATGCATTATTTGTTTGGGCAAAGAGCATGCACGCGATGTCTCCGAGGGGGCAATCGGCGTGCACCGCGAGCGTTTTTTCAAGGAAAAAGCTCCGCTCTGGTTTGTCTCTCTTTTCAAGGAAAGACGGGCAGCCATCTGCTTCCCGCGATTCAGGACCCGTCACTGCTGAGGCACGGAGGAGAATGAACTCGTGGGGATCGCATGTGGATCTGGCCGATGAGTTTGAAGAGGGGCTTTCCCTCTCGCGATCGTCGGCTGTGTACGAGAGTGAGCCACTGGAGGATGATGTTATTTCATTAACATTGTCTGATCCAGGGGCCAGTGCTCTGCTGGAAAGCAGGAACATGTCTGAGGAGGGCAAAAAGCTGAGGCTGAGCTTTCCCAATCCTCCTGCCCTGCGTATGATGAGCTTTTGAAAGTTATGGATCGCGCCATGGCGAGGCTTTACTTGCCGTGAAGCGGGTGAAGAAAATGACATTGTGAGGTCATCCATTAAAAAAAACAAAAAAAAAACGATGAACGTTATTTTTCTGGCTATAACCCTCCAGCTCAGGTGAGCCTTCCTTTCTTCCTGTTTTCCATACAGAGATTGAGAAGTAATGGAAGAGGCCGTTTTTTCCTCACGCATCCATCGATTCCAGCATACGAGTTATGCCAACATCGAGGCGATGCGCGTAAGCGGTTACGAAAAGATGCCCCTATAGAGAGACGCTGGCCAGCTATCTCTCTTTGGATGAGACGTCCTCTTTTAAGACTCCCTCCTTGACATCTTGCTCTAATGCCAGGGCATACGCAGCAGCAGCAGGTCGGGCTGTCGGTTCATTGCACATGATGGTGATGCCCCAAGCATATCAGGCTGGCCTGCTGAAAGACCTGGATAAAGGCGCGAGGGGCTTTCTCCTAAATGAGGTAGCTGAGTGCGGGCAAAGGCGCGTTCAGCGGCCTTTATGAAGGTCCAGGACTGAGCCCGAACAACCTAAGGGGTCCTGGCCCGTCTCGGTTTGAGGATCAGAGACGGGCACAGAATCCCGATCACCAGGATATCCCCTCTTGCTGAGGCATCGGGCGGGAAGTATAGGTGGCATTTGTGAGAACCTTCTTGTGTAATGCTGTCTCAGGCAGTGCTCCCCTCACTTTAGAGGGTTGTATTTGAGCTTGCCTCTCCCGTTTGGCTCAGTACTTCCGGGTATCTGTGAGCAGATGCTTGGAAAACTCTTAAATCCATACTATGATAAGTGCACACGTTAAGCTTTGCACACTTTTTAAAAATCCACATAAGTGGTAAGTGTGCACATTATGCTTTGCGCACTTCCTAAAATCCACATAGGTGGTAAGTGTGCACATTATGCTTTGCCCACTTTCTAAAATCCACATAAGTGGTAAGTGTGCACGTTATGCTTGCGCTATGGTTACACGTTATGAGCCTCGTTCCCTTTCTCTGAGTCGGTTTAAACCCCGGTACCTTGGGCTCCACTCAACTAGTGTGTATCTGTCGACACACTCTGGAAGCATCGCTCCCCTCACCATTGAGGG